CTAGCGCGCTGATCCACACAGGTATGCACACAGGTGTTCACTGCTCGTAGACTTAAATTACACCTTTCTTGGCTACTACTTCGAAGCACATCTGTCCTGCGCGCTGCACAACAACATTGAATATTTAGTATTTACTGCTGTTTACACTTAGCTAGATTAATGCGATGGTGTTGTGTTTAGTATGTTGCTTTGTTGTTGTTTTTTTTTGTTTTTTTGCTTGTTTTCTATTCTTCTCTCAACAGGTGATCCAGGAGATTCTTATTTTTTTTTCTCCCCCCTTTCTCACTGTCCCTCTCCCCTTCTGTTTTTCTTTTCCTTCCTCTTTCTTTCTCCCTTTCCTATCCCTCACTCATGTCTGTCCCGTCTGTAACATCTGAAAATAAAATATAATAAAAACAAAGATCGACCAAATGGACCAATACGGCAATGCCACGATGATCCATTTGGCAAAGTAAATCCATTGGGTATCCTTGTTGGTCTTCAGACAACAATTCTGATGGCTAAAGAACCAAATGGGACAGGCGGCAAAAAAAAAAAGGGAAGCTAACCTACAACACCTTATTTCCAGTTACACCTGGTTATTGGACTCACTGCATCCGCTCATACAGAATTTTGTTCTTCACGAGCTTCACCTTCACCCTCCCGCCGCTACCGCTCGCCCACTCGCTTCAATGGAGGACGTGCCGTCCGACCGGCCGGACGAGGAATTACCCGGTCCGTCGGAGCCGTCTCTGAGACGAAAGCGACGTTCATGCCACCGGCGCGGCACCTCACAGCCGGATGTAGGGACATGTAAGCAGTCGGCTGTGGTGAGTGAAAGGGACAGTTTTTCTGCTGCCTCAGACTCTGTGACTGTGTTTTCTGGAGCTATTTTTTTTTGTGTGTCTTCTGAATGTAACAATTTTTCCGTCTCACCCATGGCCACTGCTCCAAAGACTGCCTTTGCTGAGCCCACATTCAGGGTTAATGACTGTGTTCACGCTGTTGTTTCTAAACATGGAGTTATTGAGTCAAGCACCACGAGTTTAGGGAATGACTATGTTAGGGGAGCCTTTTCGTCCGCCTCGGTTCCTTCAGGTAAAGCAATAAACTTCCCCGAAACAGTTTTTCCTGACCATATCCCCCCCATCCACACCTTCACCACAAGTTAATGTGGGGCCTGTAACACAGTTAGCAGTACAGTTATCAGTTCAGCCAGCTGCCCTGGGTTCAGCCAGCAGCCACTCCACCACCTGTTACAACTTCGCCACCTGTAGCTCAGTTGCCACCAGTTCAGCAGCCTACCCACTCGTTCATTCAGCTACCATCCTCACTGTCTCATTCTAAGCAGGAAACACACTTCACCACAACATCTGCTGGTTCTCTTAAGCTGGCCATGTCAGAGACAGTTGCTCCCTCTAGGGCCTCCCCAGAGGCTGGGTGTCAGTCACCAGCCAACTCTGGACCCCTAGAGTTCAAGACGCCAGCGCCAGCAGCCTCACCGGAGAACTCACCAGAACAGTCTCAGCTCTCAGCACCCCCTGAGAGTTCAAGTGAGTTCACCCGTCCGCCTCAGTCGTCTGCTGAGTGTATTAGGGAACACTTTCAGCCCTCTGAGGACTGCATCCCACTGTTGCTGCCTGAGTCTAGCCACTGTGCTGCTCAGTCCCAGCCAGTGTCCACGCTGTGGTTTCTTTCAGAATTAAATTACAAAAGTTGAGGTGGAAAAGTTCTCAATTATTCATTTCGACATTCATGGCTGTAGCTCGGGAGGTAGAGCAGGTCACCTACTGATCGGAAGGTTGGAGGTTCGATACTAGGCTCCTCCAGTCTGCATGCTAAGTATCCTTGGGCAAGATACTAACCCCAAGTTGCTCTCCGATGCATCCATCGGAGTATGAATGTATGTGAGTATAGTTAGAAAGCGCTCAGTATAGAGGTAGTGCTTGTGAGAATGGGTGTGACTGGGTGAATGTGGCATGTTGTATAGAGCACTTTGAGTACTCAGGGAGAGTAGAAAAGCGCTATATAAGAATCAGTCCATTTTTCATCTAATGAAGATGAATCTGAGGGAAATAGAATTTCTGACAGCAGTAAATAAAAATGGTCCCTGAGCTCAGTATGTTTGTGACTCTGAGATGGAGGTGAAACATGTGAAGCTGGGCTGTGGTTTACTGCTCTCTTCCTGTCACAGACACTGTTTGACATCTGTTCATCTGTTGGTTTTTGTTCAGGCTGCAGGGATCATTTCTCACTGTGGGGATCAGACTTATAACAGGAGCAGTAGTAGGTGGCTGAATGATCGAGTTTAATTTTATTTATCTTCAACTCACAGCTGTTTTCTTTAAACTTGGCAACTAAGAAATCATTTTCCTGAGGGTGACCGTAGCGAGCGCGTACTCCACAATTATTTGTATAAATTCGCAGAATTACTTTAAAGGTTTCATTTTCTTTCTTCTGGTACCAGAATCCATATTCAGTCCCATAACACTGTTCAGTCCCTCCACAGCTGAAGGAGACACTTTGTCCAACTCTCCTGGTCAATGTTAAATCGTCCTGAATCAGCTGTTCTGCTGCCATGGTAACCAGTGCTGTAGAGACACAGACAGATAGATGAAGGTTAGTGTGACAGTGTTTGTTACAGGTTGACTTTGTTGGCTCCTGATTGGCTGGAAACACTCACCTGAACACAGACAGCACAGAGCAGCAGCTGGGAGGAAAAGCATTTTGTGCAGTGGTGTTTCCTCTGGTGAACCTGGGGAGAAGTGGCGCTCTGATGCAGCTGAGGCCAAACAAGGACGAGCTGTGAGATCAGACGAGGGCCACGTGGTTTCTAACAGGTCCTCAAAGCTCCCATCAGCCCCTGCGGCCCACAGATAAGACTGCTGCTGCTGATTGACAGCTCAGCTGAAGCTGCTGTGGTTTCATCGTCTTCATTTCAATCTGACAGCAGATCCAAAAATCTGGGTCACATGATGCACAAACACTCAGAAACATTCATGTTGCTGTGAATTTACTAACACACACTGTTATCTGTTGTTGAACAGCTGTGATGAAAACACTAAATATTCAAACTAAATATAATGAAACTATAAATAAAAAGAAAAATCTAAAAAAATAATATGGTTAAATATTTTAAAAGTTCATAAATTGCACTCAAAGTAGTTAAAAAAAGAAAATCATATGGAACAACATTTAGAGTAAAAAGTTTATTTGAAACAAACACATGTGGTTCTGTTGTGTGTTTAAATATGTGCACACTGTGGTTCTGTTGTGTGTTTAAATATGTGCACACTGTGGTTCTTTCCCACATCTTCTAATGTGTTTTGTTCCAAGTTGGTTTCAGACTGAAGGATTCATTAAAGCCTTTTTAAGAATCATTCAAATGATGATCATCAATTCTAATATCTATAAACAGTAATAAAAACAGGGCTGTGTTTCACGTCAGCTTCATTTATTTGTAGCCATGGTTAGATTTCATCTGCAGCAGGCAGTCATCCACCTTTACACACACATTTACACAACAGTACAAAAGTACTTTTTGATTCCTGAAAGAGAAATAAGACAAATGTTGCCTTTGTATCATCTCTGATATGGAAGGGATCATTTGAAGATGTGAGTGAAGGACACAAATATTTGGATCTGGTGTTGTTCTACATTTTAGGACTAAAAGACAGAAGGAAGAAAGTGAAAGTGACTGTGCGAGGCGTTGAAGTCATGAAGTCAAGTGGAGGCCGCTGACTGCTGTTACTTTCTGCTGTACAGGTTCAACAGGGACTCACAGTCAGCCTGCTAGAACATTTGGATGAAGAGAAAAAGGAGGAAAAAGACTTTGAGGGACAAATCCAATAAGATCAGCATGTTTTGAATGTGGGAATACAACAGTTTCCTCCACCATGACACACACTGGAGCCTCTTTTTGCTCACAGCTTCACTGTTTGTCTCAAAGTTCAGTTTGGAGGCCAAAATTGTTGCAACACATTTGTAAGTTTGCACTAATTTCACTGTGTGACCCTTAATGGATGTAATGAAAGAATCAGTCAGTGAAATATGAAGCTGTGCTGTAAGTTTGGAGGAGAAAAGTGTCTGAGTGACTTTAATGAGGTGAACACATGAATACAGAGCACTGACTGACACGTACACACTCCTTTAATGAGTCGCACACATTTTTGTGACTTCATGAAATGTCAAAAATGACACAACACACAACAAGCTGCGAGCACATTATTGTGTGTTTGCTGTTTGTGTGCTTTGTTTGCTGTTATGATAGCAGGCATACAGCCATGTTCTCAATGTCTCAGCTATCATTGATTATTGCTGCTCTTCCTCTTCTATTAGGCACTTCAACTCAATGAATGACACACAGAAAGATTTCATGACTGTGTTCTTCACAATAAGGAGAATATGTTATCTGCATCTGAATGACTCATGTTGCCTTGTTTCTACTTTGTTTGCATATTTCTGCTTGTTGGAAAGGATTTTCTGAATCATTCAGTAGTTTTTGTAATAATAACGACATTTAGCAAGACTTCAAAATGATTCTCCAACATTTGCTGTTCAGACTTGATCTGTTCTTACGTGTGTGATATCCAGAATGAAAAACTCAGCTCAGGTAATAAAATGGGAGCTGAGCAGACTGCAGGGGCTTCATGGTCTCTCCTTTGATTCCATTAAAGTTCATTTGTCAGCTGTGAGTTGAGGATTTGAGCTGTTTCTCTCACAGGTGAAGAACACAGATCCTTCCTGGAATCATTCTTGAAGCAGAGTTCCTGCTTGTAACTGTCATTGTGTTATTAAAGTGAAAGCCACAGCTAACGGTGTGGAGGCTGCAGAGCAGAAACCCACACAGCCCGTCTGCTGCAGGAGAGCAAGTTTGGATACAGTCAGTTTGTGCTTCACTCACACGGGTTGTTGTTGATCACACAATGAAAGTAGAATCAAACTCTTCATCTTCAAATCTTTATTGTTCACACAAACACAACTACACTGTTTGACGTTTGAAAATCAAACAAAAACTTGTGATAAAAATATTCCTGATGGTTTTTGTTACTACAATAAAAGTCACAATAAGCACAAAAAGAATTCTAACTCAGAGCAACAATACATGTAAAGATGTATTTATTTCAGACGATCTTCTAACTGTTGAAGAAAAAGGCAAAATAAGCTCAACACATCATAACTAACATTTGTGATCAAAGTGATGAATGAGATGAATTGATGAGATGTGATGGTGAGAAAAGGCGAGCAGGAAACAGTCAGTCAGCATGTGTGCAGTTGGTGGACGCTCCCTTGTTTGTGAGCATCATCAGCAGAGAGAGTCCACAGCAGTACACCAGACTCTTCACTATCAGCACTGTGTACAGCAGGCAGAGCAGCTTCACCCTGCACTGAGACTGGAAGGACACTGAAGGACAGACAGACACAAAGAGACAGACAGACAGTCGGGTTATTCCTCTCAGATCAAGGAGAAAAAGTCCAAATAGAAACAGTCACAGCTTCTTCTTCAAGTGGATGAATTGATGTAGTGTTTGTGTCCACTTGGGGGCAGAAGAACTCCACAAGCAGCTAACAAACTGATCTCTGACATATTATGGTCTGTCTGCTGTTTGGTGCTGAGCAGCTAGTGTACAGTGGCTTTATCAGAGCTTGTTGGATGAAGATTTGATCAATTAGTGCAACTTTAAGAGCCTAAACTTGTTCCAGCTGCCTCATTGGACATTGGAGCTGTCCATGCAGAGAGGCAGCAGGTGATCTTACAGTCAGCTGGCTGCAGAGCTGGCAGGTCTGCTGGCTCTCTCTCTGGAGGACAGGAGGCTGCTGGAGCTGGAAGCTCTGAAACAGAAAAGGAGTCAAATGTTTGGAGCTGCAGTGAGAAATGTCAGTCCTCTGCTGCTCTGCTCTCTTTGACAGCATCTCCACATGAAGCTGAATCACTGCTGAACACAGTCACCAAGCCTTCATTACCTTGTTGTGTTCGGGCCTCCACTGTGCCCCCCTCGTGCTTCACCCAGCAGGTACATTCATATGTGCTTTTCTCCTGCTGATGGATCAGTAAGATGGAGGCGCTGCGTCCTGACTCTCTGAGCTCCAGTTGCTCTCCATCAGCAGGGGGCAGCTCCTCCAGCCGGCCGTTCTTCTTCTGTCTTTTACACGACAGCTGGACCAGGTGAGGAAACATGGCTGGGGGCACACACAGCAGGGAGCTGTTCCCCTCCACGTGGACTCTGGGTCCTGCTGGTTGAAAAAACAGAGATTATGTTCTGTTGTTTCCTCTTTTTAGCTTCATAAGAAATATTTGAAAACATAAATGGTGACATGGTGATGTGGTGGTTTGCGCTGTAGCCTCAAAGGGAGAAGGTTGTGGGGTCAGACCTGCTGGTCGGGTGGGGCTCTGCTGTGTGTTTGCAGGAACTCTCGGTGCCTGTGTCGTTCTTTTCTGGGTGCTCTGATTTCCATCTACAATCCAAATACAAGTTTTTTCAGTTAACTGGTGATTCTGAATTGTGTGAACCACTGGTCCTGTTTGTGTTTGGACTCCCAGTGTGTCAGTGATGTTCCCTCTATTATCCACTGCCAGCTTGAACAAGCTCTCTCCTTTTAGGACTTTTATGGGTAATTTCATAATAATGACAAAGACATTTAACATATATTTTTTTATTATTTAAAAGTTTAATAAAAAATTTCAGAGCTCACAGCGTTGAGATAACATCTTAAATATTTAATATTACACACTTTAATTTAATAAAATTAACACTGAAATAGAATGTCAGTGTTTTCTTTTCACAAGTATTTTCATAGTTTTTATGCATGAAATAAAATATTTTCATAATTATAAACTTGAAAATATTGATTCAATTATACGGAAATGTTCGCCGTCTGATGCTGTTCTTGAGAACTAACATTTAATTTTGTCAAATATGATTTAAATAAATTTAAACAGTCCATCAGGATTGAAACACTTAAGTTTGCACCGTTATATGTAAAGTTAGAATGTTTTTTATTTTCTATAAAATTTTAATTTTATTTATTTTTTATTATATTTAAAAAACATATTCTTAAATAATACATTAATTTAACCTTTAAAAGTATTTATTATTGTGCTCTTGAACACATAAATATGTTTATTAAATCATTACTTGCTAAATAAACATGATTCTTTTTATTGTTATTTTTTAACAGCATCAGTTTTAACTCACATATTCATATATTCTTTAGAAAAAAGACTTTCTGAACAAACACATTTCTCAGTGTTTTTATTTACATTTAACCAAAGCTGACATTTCTATGTACATTTTAATACCAAACATATTATTTTTAACATCAAATATGATCTTGTGTTAAAAACCAGCAGAATCACTGAGAGGATCAAATCCTAAATATTTGTAACATCACTAATATTTACAGAAATAAAGAATAACTTTAGTTGTTCAGTGAGATTTCAACATGTTTTCAGAGATTATTGAGCTTTTCTTATGTAACAATGGCTGCAGATGAATTCTCTACTAATGATGAAAAACTAACATGTAAAGCCTGAAGCAGCACAAACTGACTTTAAACACATTTTCAGCTTCTACAATAAAACAACTGAAGGAAAATAAATGTTTGTTCTTACCTGTTACAGACAGTTTAGTTCCAGAGCCAAAGATGTAGTAGCCGTATACTCCCACAGTGAGACAGACTGCTACAAAAACCTGTCTGCTGTTGAACGTGTCAGCTGAGGTGAATGAGTCCAAATGAGGAAGCAGGATCATATTTCAGCTCCATGATGTGTTTCTCTAATGTTCATATCAACATGACTGTCTCTTCTTCTCTTTTCTTTTAGCCACACTAGCAGCACGGCTCTGATGTTAATGTCAGTCTGTTGGTCAGTCCACTACTTTAGTCCACATGGACTGGATCTGGACTAAAGACATTAAACTTTGTACAGATATTCTTAGTCTCTAGAGGATCGACTTCATTAAATGACTTTGTCGATTCTGACTTTTTAATCAGACAGTTTGGATTTTGGATTTTCATGGTTCCCTGGGTTTCCTGGTCCAACTTCCTTAGCTCAGCATGGTTTGTGGTTCTCCAGCAGTTCTTCCTGCTCAGTGTCAAATGCTCACTTACTCCTGGGCATCATTTAGTGTTAATGGTACTTGTAATAAATGTAACCTCTGAAAATAATCCTATAGCTAGCCAGGCTCCTTTAACCACTGCAGCCCAAAGTAACACAGCTCCTGTCAGCTGAGCCGGAGCAGCAGGGGTGACTGTACCACTGTGAGGACGAGGTGTTGTGTGAAACAGAAGCCCCAGGTTTACCACTAAACCATTCATGTTTTAAGTCTATTTTTCACACAGCTACAACACAGCTGTTGTTGGCTCTATTCTTAGAAACATGAAGCTGCAGCATCTGGGGAACAGAGTCAAAGTCATTCCAGGGAACAGAGCGAGCTGCACTGAGGAGCAGCAGTGGCAGGAATCTTTACTTCTGATTTATTAATAACCCACAGACAAAGTTATCATTTATTTGAAAGTCTTATTCTTAGCCCTGCACACCCTAACTGAAAAAAACAAAACTGTTTTATTTGTTGTTTATTGTCAGTCTGGCTCTTACTCTGAGTTTGATTTGTCCGATTTAGTGATCAGTTCAGATAAAATAATTAGTACCTGACTTTAACATTCATGTGGAAAAATGAAAACAAAAACATGAACTCTGTTTTCATTCTTTATTAAACTAAATTGGCTTCAGCTGGGTTCTTTATCAGTTGAGATTGCAGCAGTTATTCTGTCTGCTCTCAGTTTTCAAACACTCATCTCCTCAATAATTGGCTTGGAGGTAAGCGCTCTCAAACTCACCGAGTCTGTTGCAGGCTCTCATCGTGTGGATACAGTCTTTTTATATTCAGCAGTGGGGAGCTCAGTTTCTACAGTCATGTAGGCACCAGCCTGATAATGAAATTGTTAATTGCCCCTTGAGGATAAATAAAGTCTTTCTGATTCTGAATGAAGACACACATAGTGTGTCATGAAATTGAACACAGCTCACAGTTGTTTTCTCATCTTCACACTCAGTCTTTGTACAAGAAAGTTACAATTACATGTCCAAATGTCCAACCTCCAAAAAAGCAGCACCTTCAGAAAGCCTGTAGAACTCTTGTTCAAGACCACTCTGAGTCTTGTGAAATGCACTTCACACACGTACACACAGGCACAGTTGTTTGTCGCCAGACGTTTATTTCTAGTTTTCATTTGTTATGACCGTGCACAGTCTGACAGCTCCGGTCTCAGCTGATTTCCAGCTCCCCCTCCGCTCCTCTCCCGTCTCACTATAAAAGGGGAAGGAAACCATCATCAGTCCAAACGCCATCAGCTGTTCTCACCTGCGTCTCCAGCACCGCCCCATTGAGCTCACTGCACCACTCCTCCCCTGCAGCCGCGCCCGGGACCACACCTCCGCCACAGTCTTTCTCCTGGAAAAGAAAAACAATCAGGTGGGTGCTCAAGACTTTTGGACAGTACTGTGTATTTTACAGCAAACAGCATAGATAGAGACTGGATACAAGAGAAACAGGGGGAAGGGACACAGGGAAACAGTTACATGGTATTAATTTCTCATAGTTTATTAGATAAAAGACCATACATACATAAGACAGATGTGTGACAGAAAGGCAAACAGAGACAACTGCAGATTGAAACATAGTGTTTGTGCTGCCTCTCTTTTATTGTTTTAAATATGCTGTAAGCCTCCTGCAGCGTCTTTAAGTTTCTGCCTTCCTTCCCGACTGAAGAATTATTAAAGAATTGTAAAAATATAATATATGAATATATTATTTAAACACCTCAGTACACATAAAACTGTATTACTGCAAAGTAAAAAACAATTGTGCAGAAAAATGTTCCCCATCAGCATCAAATGAATTAAAATTACTGCTGAATATGTTTAGGGTAGAGCTCATTTTAAATACTTTATATTCTGTTTAATGTCCAACATCATATTCTATAAATCACGTTTGTAGTGGCTGCCCTGTGAGGACCACATGTATGACCTGAGCTCAGAAACACAGGCCTACATCTGGATTAAAAGTCTGCAGCAGTATGTGACCTGGTTACCTGTCAGTGTCTACAGGGAGGATTCAAATATGAATGATCAATGAAGGTCAGTCTTGACAAAGCAGCGAGTTAAAGTTATTGCAATCAGACATTGTAACAGTTGCAGTTGTGTGGTGTTTCGTTAATATAGCACCAAAGGTCTCTTTGAGCTTCCTGCTCAAAAAGCATTTTTATCAGCCGCATTTGGAGCAGCCTTGGAACTGGGAAAGCCTTCGTCGCCTGGCTGTGATGGAATCGGCCTTCAAATGCGGCCTCTGGAGGATGCGGCCTAGGAATTGGGACACAGCTGTGGTGTCTGTCTACGTGTCTTTAGCTGGGTCTAAAATGGTGGTTGTTGACAAAAATGGCTCTGATGCTTCTAGTTAGCTCTCCATTATCAGTAGCTATGCTGGCTATCAGCTAATAGTGAAAACTGCGGAAGGGACGGTAAGCCAGTTTCTGTTTTAGCGCATTTGCCCTGCTGTGCGTTTTTGTGGTCTTCCTTTGTGGCTGGTTCACTGACTTTTGGTTGAAGCATGATGGAACTTGGTGTTTTGGAATCTGTGAGGTCTCTGTGAGCTAACGAGCCATTGTTTACCTGGTTACATGAAGTCTGGCAAATTCTGGGCTCGGTTGTCTGTGTTTAGCGGCCTTATGTGCATTTACGCACATAAGGCTTGTTGCTTGTTTTTGCTGTGTTTGGTGGCTGTAGAAATGGTTTAAATGAGCATTTAGCTGAGATTCTAAGGTTTTGTGGATACTACACATGCTGACATTTGCAAGAAAGGCTTGATGCCATGGAGGGTTGCATGAATCTTGACCTTTAACTGGTTAAGACAGCCTAAGTTAATGTTTGTGATGTCACAAGTATGTGCCACTGCCCTCTGTAGAGTGCGGGGGAATTGTGCTTGCACTTGGACGCATGGACTGAGATGGACTTTATATTTTTACCTCCTTAACTCAAAGTAACATTACGGGTTGTATGAACACTGCTCACTTCATGTATGATAAGACAGCAACTGTTCAACCAGGCCGTGTGAGGTTGGTGAAGATCATGTTTCTCGTCGTCTTGTTCTTGTTGTGACGTTGTATTGTCATGTCTGCCTCTCATGTTTCCTGTTTTATTTTGAAAATCTGTGTCCTATGTCAGTGTAGTCGGCTTTGCTTGTTATTTCAGATTAGTGTCAGCTGTTTCCCCATGTGTTTCCATTTCCCCTAATCACCCCTGTGTGTTTCTGTTCGGTCCTTGTCAGGTTATCTGTTGTTCTCGGCATGTTCTCCACGTCATGTTTCTAAGTTTCATGTCAGGGTTTTTCATGTTGTTTGTTTAGATCACCCAGTTTAGGTTAATGTTAGTTTTTCTTCAGTTTGCCTTGCCCTTTGTT